CTGCTATCAAGTGATTCCCATGAAAGCTCTCTCCCCTCCAGCAGATCTTCTCCTCAGCAGCATATCCCCAGACAGCAAGTTCTGCATGTAACCCTGCTCAAGAGATAACAGCCAGCAGTTCTGAAAGCATAAAATAAGCAAGACCTGATTTCTGACCTCTCTTTTTTTTTTTTTTTCCTTTTTTTCTGTGGATTCTCTGATGCTTAATACAGGATGAACTTCTTAGCCTTTCTCTCCATGGACAATCTCTCATCTCCATGAATATCTATCTTCATGAAATATGCAGGAACTTAATAGCTCTGAGATCTCTATCACATGTCTGTCAAACTCAGATGAAATTTTCCAGTGTTCAATATTTATTAAGAAGTCAGGAAAGAGTAGCTGATATAAAGAGGTGCACATACAGCCAGGGCAATTCCGTAGCTTTGGCTCCTTAGGAAACAACCCAAACTCCCATCCTCTCTGTAGCCAAGAAAGAAAAAACTGCCTTTCCATCAGCATAGGTAAAGTAAGGTTAGAGAACATCTACCTTGACTTCTGCATCCTTCACAATTCCAAGTCTCTCTCTACTTTATGAGTAAATCTGAAGACTATATGATACAACCCTTCACTGTTTCTTCATCAAATCTTAACTGCATGAAGTTCCCCATGAGGGTATTTTGTCTCCATTTCTTTCTTTTGTTTAAGGGTGCTTTCTGGAGGCAATTTCCCTACTTTTTTTTGTCTGATTTCTCTCATTTCCTCATGATTATATAGTGTTTTACTGTATCCCATCTATACGTTATCTATCTACCACTGTTTCTAAATCTATGCCTTTTCTAGCTCTGATTTACTGGACTTCTATTTCCTCTTTTCCTTTCTTTTTTAATCTGCTCATTCAGAAATCACATTTCAAGATCCTTTTTGGCAATCAGATGGGGGCATTTCATGTACTTACTGGGTTGCAAATGTTTTCCTAATAAGACCAGCATATTTTCTATCCACCAATTAAGGGAAATCGATTTTGAAGCTGGATTTAGTAGTGGGTACATCCTTATGTACGATTTAGATAAAGCAAAGATATGATGCTGAATATATAGGCTCCTATTTCATTAGCTATTTCCCTTGCAGCATCTGTATTTTTGAACCTCAGAATTTATTCCCTAGACTGCTAGAAGCCAAGTTAAAAAAAAAATCACAGACATAAATGAAAGTGAGTATAATGGAATAGGAACCTAATACGGGAGTTCCCATGTGGAATCTCAAAACAGATCAGTGCCACATCCTGCAAGGTTCAGATCAGATGTGATCATCTGGAAAGTAGGTCTTTGAGAATAAATGTCAAGCAGCATGATTATCCCCCGCAAAAAGGCAGATGACTTTCAAGCTTTGCAAAGTTCAGTGTGAAAGGTTCTCAGTCTTCCTATGACTATCCTTTGATAGAAATTGAAGGAATACAAAATGTGCCAGAGGGAAACACTGATTGCACACAATCAATAATTTTGATTTTCATGCTGTTGCAATTCAGTAATAAATTAGGAATCAGAGAATCTACTAAAAAAATGCCAGATGGTTCATTATGAAATACACCAGCTGTCCTTTTTCCTCCAGTGTCTCACTTCAAACTGGTAGGAAATGGAGTCACTTTAATCTGCTCTGCATGGCCCTATAGCAAAAACTGCCATAAAAATAAAGGTTGAAATACCCAGATACTCACTGGGTTCCCCTAGTCTGCCATCATAATGTCATGAAGTGCAATCACTCACGCACTCAGCAAAGCGAATCACATATTTTGACTGATGCTTCTCTGCTCTCAGTGTTATACCGTTTGCGCAATAAGCAATAGTTGTATTCCATTTACTTCTAGCCATGTCAGCAACATGCTCCTTTGGTTTCCAAGCATGTCTCCTGCTTTCCAAGCATGACCTCTGCCTCACAGTTTCTTGTACCAAGGTAGACTAGTAGACCAACAGCTACTTGTATAAGCTGGATCAACACCTATACAGTTGAACAACCAAGGCACGAGTAGAATATTTAATTTATACTTTAAGCATAGCAGCATCAGTTAGCAAGATCCATATTAGATATCATTGCAAAGGTGGTTCCTACTGGAGACCTGGGAATAGAAAGGAAAGGTAGTTTTACAGGAATATACAGATATGACTCAAAACTCTTCAGTTCAACAGACTAACAATAAACTCATTTGAACAGAAGGCAGGGTGAAAAGAAGTTATTTTAAAATCACATCTATATTTACTACCCTTGAGCGCTAACTCTGCAAAACTGATGCATCTGAAGTGTTAAGAAACAAATCCTTGGGGGTTATAGAAGTAAACTTCTCTAGACACTATGGACTAAAACTCTTCCCCGTTTGGTTTCAGTTGCTTTACTTCAGGGGCTAATTTGGCATGTTGTAAGAATGTAATAGTCTATGCATAATCTTCAGAGCTCAGTCTCAATTATTGTAGCACGGCCAAAGCCTTTCTACTAAGGTTTGTTAGAAGTAACAAATCTATCCCTCAGCCAAAAATGAAGATGTAAGCAATGCAAACAGAAAGTAGTCCAGAGGGACATATTTTGCATTGCCTCAAAAAAAAAAGACTATTCATTTTCAAGTTAATTCTTTTTGGTTCCCTAGCTAAAAAAGATGACTTAATTTCTGTTGCCGAGTGAGTTCATTAGCAAATTCTAAAACACACTCCAGTAAAATTTGGGTATAATTTGCTCATTTATGTAGCTGTCATTTAGGAGTTTACAAATTTTAGTCCCTCCACAACTTTTGGAAGGTTATTAAAATGTATCATTGTTAGATATTTTGCCCTCAAATTGTCACAATTTCCCCCCACTGGTAACATAAATTACATTAGTTCGGGGACTAACTGCACACACTTATTCCTCTGAGAGAAGAAACAAATAATTTCATAAAGTTTACATAAATGTACTCACATTCGTTACTTTTTCCCACCTGTTAATTGCCAGTCCTGTCTTAGGGCACCATTTATTCTGGAAAAAATATATAATTTTAGACATCTCTTTTTTTATTATTTTCAGAAGTAACTCTTAGTTTTCCGCCTTACTTTCTAGATTTCTAGGTAACCTGTAAGTTACTCTTAACCTGCAACTCAGTATCTGAGATAATTCAGCTCCCACAGTGTATCAGGAGATAAAACTATATATAAAGTCCACCTTTTAACTTGACAGGCAAGCTTTTAGCTTTTGACAAAACACTTGGCATCTAATATTCTTACAACTGAGTTAGTGTCTAAGAAGAACAAGAAACCAGCAACATAAAGAAAAGAAAAATATCATAAGGTAAAGTTAAAATAGTTCAAATTTAGATACTGAGATATACTTTAGATATAGAGATATTTCATTTACAAGACTTAAGGAAATAAAAGCAAGTACTTATCTTTCATTCCAAACAACATTTTCAAATAAAGCATACATGTTTCTCTGTAGTGTTACTCCTCCAAATGTTGGAATATGAAAACAACTCCTTTTTTCCTTATCTAAGCTGTTGATTTCATTTTTAAAGTTATTTCCACTTCAATAACCTGCAGTTTTAATAAAACTCTGAGACAGAATTTCTTTTAAAACACTATGTATTAAACCTCTGCATCTTTTTTCTAGCATTTTTAAAATGAAAGCATTGATAAAATTACGCACTTTGTAAGACCATGTTCCATACTATCTCTTTTTAGCAGCTTTTTAAACTGAACGCATTCTGTTTTTCTTGCCATAATCCACAGCTGCTTCCAAAAGTCCCTTCTGAAGCTCTAGGTTTCTTTGCATAGGACTTTCACAAAGAATCTCTTTAATTAGCAGTTGTTTCAAATAATTTTTTAAATTCAATTCATAAATATCTGGTCTAACATTTTCATTACTGTAACCAACTGGAAAAATAATCTTGAAGAGCACACGGTAGAGCAAAAAAAAATTCATACCTATTTTTCCAAATTCCCTTTACTGCTGCCCTTTTGGCATATCGTTTCCTTTCTTGCCCTTTTTATCTATCTTTAAAGCCTATGCTACACACTTTTGAACTACAGAAGGCTGAATTTTGCCAGAGGTGAGTGTTTTAAGTAATAGCAGTCTTGCAAATGTTGAAGGTGGCATGTGCTATGCACTTAACTCTCTTTTATTGCATCTGTTTTGTTTTTTTTTTTGTCCTGAGGACCTGAAGCATCCTACAGAGCCTAAGAGATAAAAACGCCTAAGAGATTTTCTGTGTTTTGCGCTTTATTTAACCACTCAGTGCCTTTTTTTTCACCCATTGTAGAGTATGTACATGCAAACTGAGAAGGCTGCAAGCAAAAGAAAGCTAACTGCTTTCCAGGTTGCCTGTTTTTCTCCTTATTTAAGAGCTTTGCCTAAAAAGACAGTGTTCTCTGTCTAAGTTTTGTAGGGGCGTACTGTATCTATTTATAGATAGAGAAATGGAGGTGAAGTAAAAAGAGTGATTTAGCAAAGTCACAAAATAGGTCAGTGTCAGTTGGTTCAGACTCCAGGTATTCTGACTCTTCTTTTTCACTCTAACTGTGCTTTTGCATCCATAACACTGTATTTTGGGACAGTGGTGACACACAAAAAAAGCCTTATTTCTGCTCCAAGGTCTCATGCTAGGAAGCAGGAAACTATATAGCAGACTATAGTGTGCTAAATCAGGTTGAAATAAATTTGAATAAGGCACTTCGTCTCTCAGAGACAATCTAAGTACAGAAAAGGCCAGTTTATTTGATAAAGTCATTTACAGGAATACGCAACATTTGTGACTGTTATCACCAGTTCTAGTTTGAAAATGTCATCTACATTTAATATAAGCTATGTCTAATTATTTGTGATTTTTATTGATCATGTACATTCAGGATTTGCACAGCACTGTTTCTGCAAGCTGATTTCCATATCCCGTTAGTATTGTGCAAGTGGTCTTGAAATCTTACAGACACCACTCGTGCGTGCATGGAAAGCATTGCTATACTGAGGCCCCAAACCCAATTTTGTCCATTTTTCTAACTGTCAAGTCCATCTGCTGGGGCTACGTTTATCTTCCTCCAGCATTTGCTGAGAAATTAACCCTATCTCGCCTGAAACACAAAGATAGAGCAAACCCACGGACCCCTAAAACGAGCCAGACCCTCAGCTCCGCGGCGACACCCGAGGACCGCAGGTAGAGGCGGCAATATTGCCTCACTTCAGCGGACGAAACACCTCAGAGACGCGACTTAAGGCGTTTTTTTTGTTATTTATTCGTTTGTTTGTTTGTTTTTATCCCTTTCGGGCCTGGCCGCGGGGAGGTGTCTCGGACCGCTATTCCCGCCGGTGTTCCCGGGGTCCCGCCTGCAGCCAGCAGGGAGC